ATGGTTAAGGAGGATGTCTTCAAGGTCCTCCCAAAATTGGGCTTTGCGTTCGCGGTCAAGTTCTGAGGTATCGACGGTGCATGGAGCGTATACACTCAAGACTGTGATAGGGTGAGCGAGAGTATCAAGCGTGATTTTGCATATACGAGAGGAGTGAGGCTGAAAACTTCGAACATGGGAACGGAGGGAGGGCGAAACGAAGAAGCCAACACTGTGAGGTACGTCTTTCGGCGTTCCTGAGAGTAATATCTCCCATCCTAGTTTCAGAAAAGTGTAAGAAGAGTTCGCCTTGGTTTCCTGAACACAGAGGAGTGAAACTTTAGATGCCTTGCAGAGGTTCAAAAGCAAATCATATTTAGCTACTTCCTTCAAGCCTTCTACATTCCAAGTGGCAATGCCTAGAGGGGTTCCTGTAGGGAGTGGTAGGGATATTTTCGAATTTGTGGACCGGGTTTGTTGAAAGACTGGTCCTGCCGATGATTTTTGGGCCGAAACTAGCCGTCTATGAAGTCGATTCTGAGTAGTCGGCTTCAGGTGGATCGGGGGTGGACTATTGTTGCCGTGCACCTTCAGGGCGACGTCCTGTTGATGTGCTTTCCACTGTCTAAAGTCCTGGCGCCTAGCGCGTCTGCGCGCTTGCCAGAGATCATATCTCCGAGTGATCGCCTCTACCGACCGATTACCTCTTCGAGGTCCCCCGTGAGCTCCGCGGTGTTGGTAGCCGCCTCGCTTCAACAGCGCTCTGGAAGCCGTCTCTTGACCTGGCTCAGAATGATAACGTAAGTGTGGATAACGTAAGTGGTCGTCGGTCGGCGTCTCTGGGCCTCGAGAGGTCCGAGAGCTTGGGAGACCGCTCTCAGGACGTGCCCATATAAGGTTTTGGAGAAGCTGCGAGTCGTCTCTAACTCAAGATAACTGCCTCTTCTGGCGGCATGGAGCCAGAAAGATTCCTTGCCGTAAAAGGCATATCGGAAAACCGTCATTCCGTTGGGCAGGTAGAAAGAGCTTGGGCTTCGCCCCTGCTGATGTTGCCACTAAGGGCGTGCATTACTTTATCTAAGCCACCAGTAAAACCCGAAAAACTCATTCGTTCGACGCTGAAGTGGGCTGTCTCGGTGTGAAACCTGGGGTGAGACGAGTGCAGAGGTCTCCTGTGCACTAAAAAACCCCAAGAAACCCTAAACAGGGGGCGTGCGCTCTGGAAAAAGGTGAAACGAGGAAGCTAAGAGTGAGAACTGCGGTGCTGCCCTCACTGCGCTCACTGCCTTAAGGACCCCCTCACAATGTCCTAAGCTGCTACGGCTACCGGGGCGCCGTTGAAGCGTCTTTGTAACGTAAGTGGTTGTAACGTAAGTGGTCGTCGTCTCCGCCGGCTCCAGGTTAGAGCCCGGAGAGTGCCCATCTCTTGGGGCCGGGTAACTTAACCGGGAAAGCTGAGCTACTGGCAGCCGTATTGGAGAGGTTTGCGGGATGGTGAGAGAAGTCAGCGGAATGCACCTGGGCGGCAGAAGTAGTCAGGGTAGTAGCCACTGGGCTTCCAAGGATAGGGTCCCTTAGCATATTGGAGTTGCATGACCAACCATGCTTGGGTTACGATAAAGGCGTGATCGCCTCGCTCTACTAACAAAAGAGACAATGCCTCCATACTGGTACCTTTATTATTCCAGTGTCTACTAAGCAGGTGAGATTTGTTGGAACCGATTTCCGACATGTCCGGCACCCTAGTGACAATGAGGTCGTATAGGGTACCGAGAGGGTCGTTGGGTGCCGTATGTCATGCTTTTTGGTGGTCTGTAGCTCTTAGAGTGCTCCAATCTGGAAATACAAGGTATCAAAGAAGCAACTGCCTGCCCCTGCTAGCTTTTTGAGAAGTTCGGTGGTGTATGGCGCTGTTCCAGTGAATACTGCTTCCAAGTTGCTATCCTCTTCTAGGGCTTGGAGGTATAAGTCCGCAAACTGATCAGTGAGGTATTTATTCATCAGGATCTGGAAGGAAGACTGTACGCTAGTTGCTCCACCGAGTTCTGGGACCACGAAAGTTCAAGGTTGTATGTGTTGAGGGCTTTACCGTAAGTGCGGCGTACCACCGAGGGCCACGGGATGAAGTCTAGGGTGATCAGGGAATCATAGGTGATTTCTAGCTCCGGCTGCAAGTTGGGGTCCGGGAGGTCAGTGTTGGATATGATTTCTGCAGGGAGGGCTTCTTAGGCACTGTATACTGCTAGCAGGAGGTAGCTGATTTGCTGGATCTTGCAAGTTTGGATCTTATAGCCTAAGTTGTGGAAACAGGATCCGGCCTCAGGAAAAATTCATCGGGGAGCCTGGAGAATTCTGTCTGTACTCTGGGCCAAGGGAGTGAGCGTAGGGGGTCCTGAGGATCCGGGCATATTACCTCGATAAACGCGTCTGGCAACGTGAAACGATACTGGGTAATCGTAAGGAAGTGTGCTAAGGAATCAATAAAGTAATCCGGATGTTCGACCATAGCATGTAGCATAATTCTTTCGTAGCCAATGTAAAGGATATGCCTTACCGGATTAAGAGCATCAACGCCGGGGCCATTATGCCTAGCAGCCCATTGGGTCCATGCTATAATGGTTTTACCGGCTCGACACTCCCTAGTTTTCTGTCCTACCGTAAGGGGGCACTTAAAACCTGGAGTGATAGGCTGGGAAAATGGTTGGAGGTCTGCATACCTAGTGGTATCCTTCAGTAGCTGCAAGTGGTTGAGGCCTTCAGCTCCAGTGCAATGAGCACATTGTAGGTTGGTTCCTAGAAGACACATACATCCTGGGCAGGGGGTTAGGGTGGCCGAGCCGCTGGAGTAATCCAAGCCTCCTCGTGCTGGCTGTTGCCAAGAATCGGGAGATTGAAACCAAGGGTCGACAGGAGCCTGGGAAGGGTCGGTGTTCCAGTTACCTGTTTGCTGTTGATCGGAAGATTGCCTCCAGAAGCTTTGTTGATTACGGTAGCCTTCTTGGGAGCCTTTTTCCTGCTGCTTTCCTTTTCCTTTGTTGTGCGTAGTTTTGCCGGAGCCTTTCTCTGAGGATTTGCCCGTTCCTGTTTTACCATAAGAGGAGTATTCCATTCCCTGATCCTGCATAGCTTTGTGGATTATGGGCTGTAGTCCACTCATTGTGGTACGTAGGTGGGCCGGATTCTGAGCCAGTGTTCTAAGGTGTTCGGGCGTAAGCTCTAGGGAGTAAATCTCATATGGACAATACCGAACAGCTTGTTGGGGGGAAACATTGGAGAGGTCTTGGGTCTGTGAGCAGTGAAAGCGGAGGGGCGTGGTGTCTAGCAGCGGTCTGGTAGGCTTGCAGGAACTTGGGGGTACAAGTCATACGCTCATGAAACATTCTGGGGAATACATTGAGAACGTGGGTTCTATGCTGAGGCTGAATGGCAATGTTGCAAACCTGTGTGTCCTGGCTAGGAATATAGCACACCATGGCGACCAATTCCTCCGAGTCTGGACGGTATAACTGAAATGAATTGTAATCTATGCGCAAGTACTATCCTAATCAAACTAGTGGAGCTAGCCAACAAGTGGTTGGTAATCGACGGTACGTCTGTTCGGTCTAGCTGCGCCATGTTGCGAAGATAATACATGTTATCGTCAATGATCTTCTTAGTGCAGAAAGGAGGGACTTGGTGTATCAGTACCGTGCGCTTGTGCATCTCCGACTCTACTGAGGACAAGCTGGTTCTAAAGAGGGTGTTCTTGGTTTCCAGGGCCTTGATCTGTGGCGCTAGGGTGCCTACCACGTGGTCCTGGAGCTGGGCAATTGCAGGAGCAACGAAAGTAGCATGATATTCCTCAAAAGCTTCTTTCATACTATCTTTGGTAATGTCGGAGGCTTGTGTGGAGCTTGAGGCTGCGGGAGGTAGGGGAACATCACTGGCCATCGCAAATTGTCCTAGATTGGGATCGAGGCGAGCTTCTTTTCTTGGGCGCCTAGTGGCCACAAAGACCTGGAGTCTCCGTAAGTTCCTTGACAAGCTCTGGATCCATATCTCCCCAAGAGGGCGGCTCATCATCTTCCGAAAAGTGAAACTTGAGATTGCTGCCTTTGCTGCTGGCTAGAGAGGAGGCTGTCATACATCATCTTAGCTACATGCTGCTGATTGTCAGGGGAGCACAACATGAAAATTTCATTCTCAAAAGCACGTAGGTCAAGACCGGGACCAATTAGGGTTTCTTGAGTGAGAATAAGTCCTTGGGAACTCTCAGTTGCCGCCGGTGGTTGCGATATGCCGGGAGGAGCGCCTGGTGTGTCTGTGGGCAACGCAGGAGCCATGGCTTGCTCGGGCGTGCTAACGTAAGTGCTTCCTAACTTCAATACAACAACTGGTGCCGCCTAAGCAAAAGACTGTGTAACCCCGAGGGCTGTGAAATCATCAAAAACACTAAGCGCATAGCACCGCTAAAAGTCTGTGCCTCGATGGCATGGTGCTGTGTGACCCCTAGGGCTGTAAAGTGTGTGACGCATCAAAATCTGCTTGCGCAGAGCGCTGCTGCTCGAGCCTGCTACATACACAGTACCATGCCCTATTACCTAGCTGCTCGGGTCCCCTATTACCAGTCAACGGATCTCTCTCTCTCTCTCTCTCTCTCCGTTTTTATTTGCTCCTCTGGCATAGGAGCCAACTCAACAACCTGCAATCCTTGCGTGTTTGCTAGGGGTCTAGGTATAAGCACCGGAGGTCCCTTGCTGCGCATTCTCCGCTACTCGCGCAAAGTCCGTCCTCCCCTGTTGGGGTACTTCGTTCGGGTGGCAACGTTCACCCTTCCACTTGCCCCAGGCTATCTGGAACGTCTTGGAACGGCCTTTGCACTTCTCTATGTATCTCTCCGCGTCTCGTGTGTCTCTGTAGCCATGTTGTGCGAAACTGATATAAGGCGTAAAACCTGCAAGGTATGGACAGAGTCGCGAAGGCATGCTTAGTGAGACTTGGGAGTGATGTCAGCCGCAAGACAAAACACTCCAGCTGGCTTGTTAGGCGTCCTGGGCGATCGAAGCCGTGCCCAAGGGCTCATCGTCAAACTCTCTCAAGAGCTCAGAGAGTCCTCTGTTGCAAAGCACCGGCTTGTCAGCCAAGCTACGCACTCTAAGCTGATTTCAGTCACGTGACCACCTCCTCCGCAGAGCTCCTGGCGGCAAGCAGCAGAAAGCGCAGCCAGCAAATTCAGGGCCCTCCCTGAGCGCACCTTGGAAACAATGTCGCGTATCTCTGTCGCATCGACAGGAGGCAAACTGTCCTGAATCAAGTGCTGGCATGTGTCAGCGGCCTAGGCTGCCAGCACACCAATCAGTTGATCCAATCAATAGCTGAGTCCTGCAGAACTCGCAAACGATCCGTGTACCTGACAGCATCAACAACAGTCTTCAGCGCGAGCACCCCGTGATGACCCCCTTCTTCCAGGTGACGGTTTGGAGAAAAGATCGACGCGAGTGGAGAGAACCTGTCAGCTGATTCGTCTAAGGAAATTACAGGAATTGTCGTGATAAGCGCAAACATCTGCAAACACAGACCGAAACATTTGGATACATCTGGTTTGTGCAGTCTTCCTTGATATGGTTTCCCAGTCATTGGCAATACGAGGACTTGGCCGCAAGGAATCGACGAAGAGCATTGCACGAGTCGGGGCGGAGGACGAGAGCCTGCGATCGGAACGCATTCCCAGGCCCAAGCTGCCCGCAACCTTTGTCTCGGATCACTTGGGGATCAGGGTCGCCGTACTGTTTCACACGGAAGTGTGCGCAGGCTGTGGAAATCTTGTTGAATCCTCGTCGTGTTCGCAATTTCTTGGTTTACGGCCAATCGGCAGTCTCAGTCGCCATTTCGCCCGCCATGATGCCAGCAACAAAAGCGTGTTCACAATGTCAAAGAAAGCAGGTTATATCTGAACGCAACCCGAAGTCCGGATACGCCCCGTCCACCAAAAAGCGAATGAAGAGGAACTTCGAAAAACGACTGCGGAAAAGTCCGTCAGACATTCCATCGGGCGGAAGAAACAAGCGACATGCTCGGGCGTTCTCTTGAAACTCCCTTTGTGCCGATGAGTTTCAGCCCATGTGCTGCAGGGGAACACCATGCCACACAGGACACAGAACACTTACCGGGTTTGAATGCCATCGAATCCGTGCCTGACCAGAGCACCTGCGACCAACTAAAACTAACCGGCAGCAGCATATGGTTCGGCGGACAATCACATTACACACCTGAGACATGTCTTCCAGCATCAGACCGCCGCGTTTAGAGCGTACGTCCTTCGGCTCAGAGTGTTTCCAGTCCTTAACAAGCTCGTACTTTTCCGCCTCGTGTGCTGTGGTGACAATACGACGGGCTAAAGTCGGGATGCTCGACCCGGCAAGGTGGGCAGCCCTGGAAAAGCCTCAAAGGCGGGTCACTTTGCAAAGCCTATTCGGCCTGTTCATTCACAGCAGGAGACACCGAGACGTAACAACAAATGGCAAAGGCAAGCAGTGACCGGGAGGCGAAGCCACTGGTGGGGCCCTGCGACTGCAACTTCTTCCAACATGCAGACCACTCTCTGGACTGCCTGAGCTAGGAGATCCAAGCTGCTGTTCCCAAATCGAGGCCGAAATGTCTGACACCCCACTGCCACTGCCGGCACAGGCACTACATCCACACGGGGGATCCACTCGCCTGTGCAATAGAGTACAACCCTTCACCTAACACTTCGGCAGCAGTATGTGAAGCCAACCCCTGACCGTAGCGGTGGTGATGCTGGCGATGGCGATGGGTGATGGGCGATGAGCGATTTGTGCTGGGTGCTGGGCGGATGTTGGAGCCAGTGAGGCTGGCTATATCGATAAATCTTTGACCAAAGCCTGCTCCTCTTGCGACCCCGAATGCAGTCCAGACAATGAGTAGTGTGCTTCCTCGCTTCGGGCTATTGAAATTGCATCGTCAACGCATGGAGGTCTTGCGTCTGCCATCCTGAACCAGACTGTATCACAAAACAAGGCGCACAACGCCCACATGTCCAAGCCTTATTGCTGTCGGCTTGTCAAGAGTCATATCACGAGGTCTGTTTAGTTTCAGTGACAGTTCCGTGCCGTCCATGACCAACGCGCATGAGTTGCAAACAGCAGCAAAGCCGCAAGATCAGGCCTGCCCGGTCTTCACGTAGAAGCCACCAAGACCCAGCAGTGTCTCTTGAAGCCTCAACATTTCAAAGCCAAACCAAACCAAACTGCTGCATCTGCAAGTTTCAAGCACTGGAAGCCGAGGGTGCGTCTTCTTGGAACCCCAATCATCCATTTCCTGGATCAGTTCTTCGCCAGTTTTCTCCTCCAAGCCTTGCAGAGAACAACGGCAGCTCAGATGCATTATCCATGGTGCACACTTGCCTATGCTGTGCAACCATGGACGGACGACGTACTGGCCCAACCTTTGCCCACTACCAGGGCAAACACGCCAACCACTTCATCGGCACATAACTCAGGTGCAACACTGGAAGGATCGTTGAATAAAACCTGTCAGGACATCGAAGGCACAAGACATCTACGTATACCGCATACAACAAACACGCTCGGGCACATCAGCCTCAACGACCTGGAGAGTCTCCTTGGTTCCGAATGTTGTATATGTCAAGCATCTGCAAAATTGCGTTGGTTTCCGAAGTCCTCCAACATCCTCCAACATCCACTGTTTCCAAGCAAAGTTGACAAAACCAGTTGCTCGTAAGCTCCTTAGGTTTAGCATTGTTGTAAACGCTTTTGGATGCTGTCCCGAGCTGCCGCAACATGCCTCCAGCATCCTTCAGCGATATCTTGGCCAGGATGTTGCACCCGATGTCTCTGTTTGATTTGCAGGATTTTTCAATTTACGGTGCCTCTCTTGTTGTTGTTGGTGCCGCATCAAAGCTTTGACGATGGTTGATGCCGTTAACGCGGTGCCATCCGAAAGGCCTCAAGCGACGAGCCAGCAGTACACACAACATCACAAAACTGTCTCTGTTGGAATGATTCCTGTGCCAGCCCTTCTCGGGACCGGTCCTTACAGGTCACTTTTCGTCCCAAACTGCTGGCGCCTTGGTTCGTCATTCTCGGGAACCAAACACAGACACATCTGGGTAATTTCATCACTGGTCATGCTGATTCCCTGCTGCTTCCACCTACTCTGTGCTGTTTCTTGGTGTCGCCAGTTGTTGTAGACAAGTTCTTTCGCTCTCTGTCTGAAATCCCGCACAACTTCAAGTCCACCCCTGTTGGACGAAACATCTGTTTCGACTTATGCAGTTTGAACTCTACCTGCCTCCAGGTAAAGTTGAGCACTGCCCAACCCAACATACCCCTTGGAGACGCGGCTGCAGCTGCAGGACCATACAAATCGAACTGTGCTGCATTCAACCGGTGCGTGCCTCTTCTTCACAGTTTTCTTTGTGGCTGTGATCCACAAAGCGGGCACAGCCCGCATACACACCCACACACTCTCTCAAAGCTTGGTCGCGCTCATGGTTGGATATTTTTGGCTACTTGCGAGCTGCTGGATGTGAATTTTGCTGTCAGAAGCTAGTGTGACTGGCTGTCTGAAATTGAAAACGTGCATGCAAGCTTGGTCATTGGTTATTGCTTGCAATTGTCGACATCTGTAAATGAACTGCAACTGCAAGCAATGCAGCATCGGCTCGATATCCGAGGTTCACCCCTGACCTGCTACTTGTCAGCAACAGCGACGATGCACCCTGCGCAGCTCAAGGACTCAGGGACTTCGCAGTCTCATGCCCCCTGATGAAAAGGCCGCAGTGTGAATGTTTTGAACTTGTATGATGTTCACTGCCTGGGCACATGCCACTGTGATCTGGCCCTATGCCGAGTACTCCAGTGACTCGAGTGGATGCGACGAGCCACGAACAGGACGCGACCACGACAGAATGCAGCAGCCCTGCATACAGTTCATTTCTCATGGCCACAATGAAACAACAGCTTTAAGGGTGCTTTGGGCCGGCCACTTCAGCAGGTACACAATCCGGCATGTCAGGTTTCCTCACAGCTCTTCCATCACCGTCTTCGTTGGGCAGTGGATGATGAAAGGCTCCCTGCCGCTTGCCTATGAAATTACAAAGTGGATTGCAAGCTCACAGCAGAATGTCGGCTTGTCCAAGCGTTTACACAAATGTTCATAAACTTCTTAATCTTAAATGTCGTCAGTGATGTGGCTCTTTTGTTGGCATCGCTATTCTGATTTGCTGCACAAAGACAGTCTACAGTGTACAGGTCTCGAGGCTCGCTTTCACTACCTAGTTAACATGATTGACATGACTCTGACCAAGAAGCATCACGGAGCACTCTCAGAACGACATGCTGAGAGACCACCAGCTGAAACATCTTTCCCCACGTGCGTCATTCTAGCACGTACGTTTACACAGCATATTGCATGAGCCTGCCAACCAGTATCCCTTAGGTCCACTGCTTCTTCATGTCTACTACTCACAAGACCGGTATGTATTACCAGCCATTTGTCACAGGGACGACACACACACACATCGTCTTCCACGACTGCTACAGGTACACACGCAACTGACCGGTCTACCGGAATCAAACTTGCCGCCTGGCATCTGAAGAGGTGACAATGTTGTGGTGTCCTGGAGGTCCAGCTCTAAGAAACTACTGAAAATCTGTACCGCCTGCGAGCGGCAGCGTGTCCGTAGCAGCTTGGAGGCTTCTTGTTCGACGGGATTGTCGGTGAGCGCGGCGAACAGGAAACAAAAGCAACCTGACTCGCCCATCATCCATTTCCCCATGCCCAAAACGCAAAATCTGTTCTGACAACTCAACATGTGGCAGTCGCAGCTTTCAGCCTGGTCACCCGGCAGAACACTGCACCAAACCGAGAAACGAAGCTGAGTTGTTCTTTGCCTTGGTTAGACTATAAAGACTCCCTGTCTCGCAGGCTGGCAGGAAAAGGGTGCAGTGGTGTGTAGAAGTATGCATTGCATTCGAGAACGCAATCTGAAGAGCTAGCAACTCTAGCGGTCACGCTCGGCGTTGACGTCCTGCGACGGAAGTCCATCCAAGCCAGAAGGTCGCATTGTTTCTTTCGCACCTCCATGGCTTCACTCGGCAGGAGATCAGCCCTCTTGTGGGCGAAGGTGCAGCTTCTAGGGCCATCCCCGACGAGGAATGAAGCCACGACTCACTTCTCAGTACCAAGCCAAGTACTCATGAAGTTTCTGTTTATGTCCGTCATATCATTGCATGCATAGCGTTTCCGTCGCGAGATATCCAAGAGTTGCTGGAAAGACTATTGCAGCACACATTCATCACAAGCTGTGCCAGTCAAGCTGCAAACAGAAGCACACGACAGGCTTCTGCGGACAAACTCATGTTAGCCAAAAGCATCGGCTCGGATGACGGTGAAACAAACGGGCAGGCAAAAGAGAACATCAGATCTCACTGTACTGTGCATGACCTCGGCGACAATTGCAGTCTCGTTTCCGGTACATGTAGGCGATGGCAGCACTGCGACACCGGCTTTCCAGTTTTCTTTTTCTGCTTTCCACCTGTCGCAAGAGTTCAACAGCACTACGCCAAGAATCGGAACACGACTGAGCCGTCACAAACCCGGAAAGCATGCAAATGAAGCTCGACTTTCAACCTGCTCCGACTTGGCCGGGCCTTCAGTAGAAGCAGTTGCACCTGTCGAAGTTTCGGCAACCTCGGACCCAGCCGACTTCGGAAAGTCACAAGCAAACGAAAAGCTCGCCGCCTGTGTGAGTTCCCACGTTTCCGCAAGCCACACGCAAGCGCCCACAATGGTCTAAGCTGAAGACGGGTGCAGGCTGCACCTGCCACGGGCAAGCCAATGACGAAGACCTCTGAAGGCCCTGTACATACAAGTCCCGTCACCTTTATGCAAACGATTTTCAAGAGATCAAACCTACGCGAGCCCAGGCAACTACGAGATCGGGCCGGAAGACCGACAGATGGGAATTTTAGAAGGCTTACCACAGCTTGGCTGGAACCCTTCGGCCCTTATCTTAGCCTTCCACTCTGCGTCACTGCAACAAAGGTGTGAGCACAACATGCATGCTTGAGTTCCGGCAGTTTGAAGCACTCCACTAGAAGACGAGCTCGTAAAAGGTCTGAATATTGAGGCCGCAGGCCTAGGCCCTTGCTCTCAGGCGTGCTTGTGAAGCTTTGCAAGCAGCATTTGTGAGGGGCTTCGCCATGCAAGATTCCACTGAGCAAACATGCCGTTTGAGCAGACGAATAGCGCATCCCCTCGCCTTCGGCTTCGCTTTTGGCTGCGCTTTGGCAGCGGCCTGTGCTTCCTGCCAAGCTGCCTCTTGCGCTTGCCTGAGTGCCAAAGGAAAGTTCTCAAAGCAGATCGGGAACCGGCATGTACTGAGATTCGATCACAAAGGCTTCCTCGTCCTGCTGTGCACGAAGCTCCTCGTCAGCCATAGGCAATAAGAAGAGATCACACAAATGGATGTTCAACTCCTCTTGCATCATTTGCCATGCGAGTTGAGCATCCGCGTCCCTGCCCAATCCGCTGGTGAGACTGTCATCAGACCAACACATAGATCGCTCAGGCTTGAACTCCATCGATCCAGGAACATAGGCCTTGCAAGAATGATGAGCAAAGTGCGATCAGGCTTCAGCTGCTGACAGACTCGTCCACTTCCTATGGGGAGCCTTGCAAGCCTTTAGACGCTGCAACAATGTGTCCCAGCCTCTCCGACAGCGCCGGCTGCCTGAAACTGTTACCGTTTCACATGCCCGGGAATGCCAGAATGCCAGAACACTTGTGGTGAATCTAAACGAAGAAGACAACGACTGCTAACATGATGTCAGCCCTGATTCACCCACCATGTTCAAGCAATGCTTATTCAAGCTTGGAATGGAACGGTCCGTTGACGAAACCATCGTTTCCACGTAAGTCGATGATCAGCTCCGGCAGTCCGAGACCCATTCCCAGTTGTAACACTAACAGTAATTAGTAATGAACAACTCATTAAAGATACTCACAAGTGACGAATGCTTGCAGGGTTGCATGGCCGGTCAGTCTTGGGGCTACTGTACCACTGCCAGCTTGATAATGCGTGGGCTTGCTCAATTTTCGCGGTCGCCAAGAAGCACTGTAACGTCGTAAGCTGTTCGGCCTTGGGTCTCAAGACTCCTTTGCCAGAACAGCAACACAACCCCGTGCAAGAACAGTTTCGCCGAACGGTTGGAAATGAACTAAGTCTCCGATAAAAGAGCTGTCTACTGCCCCCCGATCTGGTACACGCAATTGCACACATGTTGTACTTAGTCACTTGTGGAGCTGACTGCCTTGAAGACACATGCTCCCACGCTACGCCCAGAAGCCTGCTGTCCAGAGCGAAACTCTGCATCAACATAATCAGTATCTCCATCAACCTGTCAGCCATTGTCCATGCCATGTAGCTCCATACTGCATCATTGCATGCTCATCAGCTCAGCATGCCTTGTCAAACCTCTCCCAAACGACTTCGGAACTGGAAAATGCAATGTCTGTACCTCAAGTCACGTCGGTGGCACTTCACTACACTTGCTCCTATGCCAATCGGCCCTGCCGAGACTCGCACAAAGCAAGTAAAGCTGACCTGAAGCAACATAGATTCATAGATCAGGCCAAGTTCAAGAAACAAGCAACAGCACAAGCTTGTCACAGGTCCGGTCCGTCTAGGCAGGGGGCCATCGAACTTGAGCATCGTGTTGAAATGAGAGTTGCGGAAAAACACCTTGCAAACAGTCAAGTCAACCTTCTGCTTTACAGCATCCCTCCTACTTGTGTGGAGCCTGAGTCTGCCTCGACAAATTCAGGAGCTAGCAATTTCCGGATCACCACGTGTACAAGGAGATGCGTTGCAGCAACTGGACAAGTAGCAGCCAAACTGTTTAAACTGACAGGGTATGACAGCCCTGAGTACATCCATCGCCGTTTCCCAGGTTGGCAGCGAAAGCACTTCTCGCTTACACCGGTCTGCACCGCTTCGACATGCTGTTGAGACCGCTTTTCATGGGCCACGTCTGATTGCTTCGTGCTAAGCAGAATGTGGAACAGTTGCAACAGGCCAGCCCGTGGGACCCAAAGAGACCTTTGGGGAGCCGTGGAAGGGTTTTGCAGGTCGACCCAGCGGCTCATGAATACAAAATCTCAATGATGCTTGGCTCCAACGACCCAAGCCCGACATGCGCTTCAGCAGCACGTTGCCAGCTAGCAGCTGCAGAATTGAGAGACCAATCAGGCATGGCCGGTGCTTTTTGCGTGATTCCCAGCGCGACACATCCGGTAGAACCTGTGGGCCCCAGTGTCAGCGAAGTCGTCCCGTGTCGGCTGTCCGTCTGTCTCTGCAAGTCGTCGCAGGCAACCACATTTGGAGGCAAAAGCACAGACACTCCAGCGACAGGGCCATTTCACGAACTCAAAGAAGGAATAGCTCTGCACTTAGTATTGACACCCTGGCTACAGCGTAAGCAGGCCACGGCCAGCTGTCGTTCCCGAACAGCTTGCTGCAGAGCCTGAGCAAAGTTGAGCCCGGATCGAACAGCATGCAGAAGGTTGCCACCTCGATGCAGCAAGGACATCTGCAGTCCCAAACATCGCATGCTTTTCTGACCGTCTCACTGCCTCCGATGCAGCCGAGGCCCTGTACACATCTGTACACCTGTCCCTGTACAACTCAGGGAGCTGCTCTGTCCCGAAATGCCGCTCAGTGAATTCGATCACCCCTGCCACCAGCAGCGGCGGCAGTCACACCGCGCCGCACATGCGGGAAAAACACAAATGGTGATCCTTTCCTGCTGGCCTGAGGTGGCATCTTTGTCATGTGTTGCCTTTCCGAATGGTGAAACACTATAGATTGTTCCAAAACCTTGGACCAAAAGCAAAACAGAGGCACGCCTGTTTTGCCTTAGAAATTCCCTACAATGCAGCCACGAAACTCGATCCAGGACATCTGACTGCAAGCCTCGAGCGGTACTGATCAGTCGACCCGATGTTCTCGAACTCTGCAAAATTCAACCAACCCTCTATTGAGCTCCATACTACCATGGGTTTCGCGGCAGGGCTCCAAACTCCAGCAGTAAGCACAGGACACTCGTGATGCGACTCATGATCGATGCATGCAAATGCTTACGACGCAATCAGCTCAAGCCAACCGGCACTTTCTCGCTGAACAACTTTACGACTCGAGCTACGCGTAAGTATAGCTAGTGCAATCAATTTATGCGGATCGCGTCCCAGGCCTTGTTGAGGCAGTCCTTGCAGCCATCGACCATTCACCAAGTCTGGATCTGGCCACACCGACGGGCCTCGACCTGACCTGCAATTGCCATCACGGATGAACGAGGCTGGTCATGGGTGCAAGTTTGAAATCACAAAAGCATTTTTCAAGATTGCATGATGCTGGTGCAAAGAGACAGTGTAAACCCCCCAAACCCGGCAGCAAAACACAACACCCGGCCCAATCCCGGATATGTTCTCGCTGGAGGCTGTCAACAAGTAATAGAGTTTCGTCGTCGCAGCAGCAGTAGTAGCAACAGTAGTCGTAGCAGTAGTATTCATTCACTCATTCACGCAGTCGCCATGCATGCTGGCACGTGTCAGCACGATGCGAGGACAAGCACATGTGCCCGGCGACTTGGAATCGCACCGGCGATTGCAGCACCTACCAGGAAATGGTTCATATGATCACAAAGAACATTGACTAATCTAGCTATCTAGTTCCACGATCACCTCAGTAATTGACGACACGGACGACTTGCCTTCGCCTGGAACTCCAATGTTCCAAGGGCTATGTACACGTTTCGAAGATGAGCTGGGTCTCCAATCCGAATCCACCGGTGCGCTAAACTGTTCGCAGCGCTGCGCGGCAGCAGGCTGTGAGCCAGTCCAGCTTGTGTCACTGGCATCCACGACCAAGATGAGATTCAGTCCAGCAGCCGAGCCCTCGTTGCCCACAACATCATTAGAGCTACCAGAAATGTACCCAGGAGGACTCATGGTAGAAGATAGCACCGGTAGCGCGCGAGCAGACGTTGTGGAGGCAGCTGTGTTCGCATGATGATGAGCGGAACGTATCCGATGACATCGATATGTATGCTGCAGCCGTCTGCATGCAAAGCAGCAAGAAGGTGCCCCAATCCAGGTACCCCAAACCTTTGTTGACGATGGCACCGGCGAGACCTGCGCCGAGCCTACAGTCCTTGCAGCAGTGGCGGTGACCAGTGTCTTGGAACTGCAGGCTTCAGTGCTGCTCAACGCACGCTCGAAACCTGCACGAGGATGCCGGCTGCGGACCATGCATACCAAGCACAAGGAGCTGCAGGCTGGGCCTGCGCTTGCATAATTGCGAACCAGAGCATCAAACATATCTGGTGATATGGTTTCCGGACTTTTTCCGCGAGCTCTAGGGTGAATAATACCATTGATAAATCTGACCACTGTGAATCTTCCGTCAATGAAATGATGCGACTGATACCAGGAGCGGGGGGAAGAGGACCAAAAGTTCTGGCGAAGGAGCCCTTGTCGGGATAATCCCAGGAGGAGGGTTTGCAGCTGTACCCAGAGCTTCCGTCTGCGCCGGCGGCTGCAAGATTGCTCGTCAATGCTGCCAAAGTTGAAAAGTGAGTTTCCGCTCAGGGGGGAAGCGCATGGTAATGTTGTGATAGTCTAGCACAGGGTTTAAGTTTTAGGGTCTGGGGCTTAGGGCTTGGGGTCTACGGTTTGGGACTTAGGTGGGCTTGGGGTTCTCGATGAAGCAAGATTACAAGATCTTACTAGTAAGAGTAGTAGCAGTAGTAGTAGTAGTAGTAATAGTAATAGTAGTAGTGGTAGTAGTAGTAGTAGCAGCAGTAGTAGTAGTAGTAGTAGTAGTAGCAGTAGCAGTAGTAGTAGCAGTAGTAGTACTAGTAGTAGGAGTAGGAGTAGCAGTACGAGTAAGAGTAGGAGCAGCAGTAGCAGTAGCCGTAGGAGTAGGAGTAGAATTAGGAGTAGGGGCAGATGTAGCAGTAGCAGAAGCAGCGGTTTTCTGACAAGACTTTGCATAGCAATAACGGTGATAAGTTACAATGGTTGAAACCGTTTTGCTGTTCTGCTGGTTAAAAAAGTTCTGCTGTTCTGCTGCTGTAGGAAGAAAGTTTGACCCAGTTGTGGCTGCACTGAAGTGCAAGCGGGGATTCGTGGGCATGGACATGGAACCTTTCTCGAGCCCGGTTCTGTCGAAGCATGCCTATTTTGATTGGCAGCTGTGACCGCCTGACTGCCCCCAACCACAGACCAACCACAGTAATTGCAGCACAGGCTCTCTGCGGTGAGGTTGCTGCCACTCTCTTGAGGGCATTGCTAAGACGCTTCTGGGCAGAGTCCGAAAATCCGCCTCTTCAGCGGGACAGACATGCCAAGATCAAGCCTCAAGAGCGCTTGATTTTCGATAAGCGGACACAGGCGGCAGACAGCTGTTATCCCAGTTTTGCTTCCCGGACCTTTGCTTCCCAAGGCTTCGCCGAAGGATTTCAGATTGTCCTCCTCTGCCAACTCCGTCAGGTGTGCTGCGCCCATCTGGTGGCACCATGCTTCCGCTGCTGTTTCGTAGCTTGAAAGGCCAACGCTGCTGAGAAGACCTCGGCTTCACGTTGCTTCGCACTCCACGTCCCAGGCTCTCTGGCTCGCACGACAAGCTGCTGGAAAGGCCTGGGACAGTTTCAGCGGTTCCAAAAGTAGGGCTCCCCTCCAACCTCCACTCGCGCTTTGCCTGAGAATCTGTGCAAATCCAAACATTAACAGCCCCAGTTTCCATGTTCCAGTACAAGTTGTCTCCGTGTGAGCATGCTGCGGTGGTCGACTGACAAGAGCTCGCGATCTGAATGCGGTCTGAGTCTTCGGAATCAGTAGGCGATCCTTCCAGGGAGTACCCTCTACAGCACAGCTGTCCATAGGCGCGCACACACACACTACACCGTTCTTTCAACCCTCTTCCTGTGGGGCTGAAGCAGTCATGAGGCATCAAGCCGGGCAACATGACTGCCACAGCGGGCATGACGCAACACGTCATAGGGCAGTGCCACAGACAAGACTGGAAGTCAAATACGAATGCGAAGCTTGAGCAAAAGCACCAACAATTTCGCTGCGACTCCTCCTCGCTTGAAAAAACACGTGCATGCAACAGAGCTCGCCCTCAGGGCAGCGCCACAAGCCCTTCCTGCGAAATCTGGGTCTGAGTACCTCCGAACGTGACTTCAATGACTTCAGTGCAAACCACGACCCTGTGGCCCAGTGCAGACTCTCAGGACGGCACGATCCAAAAACTCCTGAGCGCGGGCGGCGCAGCATGTGCAGCAAAATGGTGTATCCGCAAAGATGATCTTGCCAGAATCGGTCCTTGATCAGCAAGCCATCCTCAAGAAGCCTCGCCGTGCCAGGGCTTGTTTCGCCTCGCCCAAGCTGAAAGCACGATGAAGCTATGCACAGAAGTTGTGTGGCAAATGAGAGAAGAAACTCCCGCAACAAGCAAAGCCACTACATGGATAACTTCCATGCATATGCACCTATCTAAAAAGAGATCTTGAACTCAGTCTTGGAGCAAGAGGACAAAGCATTCAGCACTCCCTGGAGCCTCCGCCTCCGTCATCACGAAGCTTTTGCTGCAACTCCTTCGAGCTGCAGGCGTACAGGCGGTCAATTGCGGCAGCACAGCCAATGGCACCACAGTCAAGCGGCGGGTCAGCTGCAAAGCCGGAGCCCGCTTCTGTTGCACAGTGCCCAGCGAGACAAGACTGTGCATCGGGGAGACAGCAGGAGGCTAAATCCAACAGAGCCAATCCGAGCGTTTAAGAATGCTCCTTTTCGATGTAGACAATATGGGTGCTGAGCTCATTCAACACCTTGTTTTTTCTGAGTGCCCATTTGTAGAGAGGCTGATGTTTGTTCGAGCATTGTGGCCACTACGCTGTGGCCACTGTGGCCAGCCCCGACACCGTGATCCCTCACTTCTTGGCACGCGTGAACAGATCTTGCTTATTGAGCACATAGAACACATAGCAGTCATCAACCTGCATGTGGAATCTGCAACTTCGCATTGGCCTGACTCTAGGAGCAGGTTCGAGTTTGTACGATTCCCTTGCTTCGAGCTGTGTCTCAGCTTTTGGTGATAGGGGTCATCGCACTGTTGCTGATGCTGTAACTCGCGAATATGTGCTGCGTATGAGCGGCAGGTGGTCAAACAGGAGAGCAGACAGTCTTCCGGGTTCGGAACTCCGTCGCTAAAGCTAACTTGATGTTGCAAACCGCTGCACCGCTTTTGCGGTGCTTACTTGGCATGCAGCATTCTCCATGCCAGGCAATGTCTTGAAGGTCTCACGATGCCATGGGTGTCAAGTCACGAAAGAATGGTTCTTCAACCCGTCCTCGTAGGCTATGAGTCTTTCCACCACTTGATTGTACGAGAGGTTGCCCAACACTTCGTGTGACTGGGTGTCCTGGCCGATCTTTCAAGAGCAATGCACGCACGAACGCGCGAACACACGCACAGACACACACACACACATGCATGCCAAGGCCGACGTAAACACAAATGTGCAGCTATTCAACCACTTCTTCACGCATCACATCTATTTAATGCATGAAAAAGCACGACAGCAATCCTCCTTTGCAATGATCCAGCCATGAAACAAAGCGATGTCCAGCCTTTCTGGCAACTTGCTACACGAGCTTTCACAGCTTCGGGTTTTGCGGCCTGAAGCTAATTACAAGAACGGCAAAACCCTTCACTCAAACACTAGCCCTAAACCCGGTGCGGGGACTTCAATGAATTCGCACACCACGAGTGGACCTGCGAGTGGCGAAGACTGACCGGAATCTGAGGTGCCAACATGTCGAAAACTGTGGTTTCCTGTGTGTACTCAAAGTCGGCCACACCTTCCAGGCAGCAACAATTCAAAAGGGCATTCTGCTTTGGAGTTTGGCAGACCGATCGATGCTCATCTTCGGGTCCATCTGCACGACAAAATGCCAGAAACTATCCGCTCCCGTTTTGTGACCATCAGAACCGAACGGAGGACACGAATGTGCCTTTTGAAGAACATGACGACGAACTGCGACTACCAAGCTGAACACTCGCCAAAGAAGCGTCCAATTGCACAAGAATTACTTGCTGCTTGCGAAGATGCTTTAAGTTTGCATGTCGGCAAATGGGTCACGTGAAAAAGGACCTGTGCTCTCCTTCCCGTTCAAATTGTCATTAGTTGCAGGTCAAGTGTCGCCCCGGATGTGCCATTTCGCAACTAAGGCAGTGCAAGGCAAGAGCGAGAGATGGTGAGCCTCCAAAGCGGCAGTTCACGTCCAAACCGACATTGAGCTTTGGCCTGGGCCAACATGACGCGGCTTGGCGGAAAAACACGGCGGCTCAGAACGTCTCCAACTCCGAGGCGTTGTCAATACTTCCAAACAAGAATTCAGACTTTCTCGAAGATTCGCAGCTCGCGAACCTTGGCTCTGTTGCACAAACATGTCTTTGGTCTGAGCATGTTCCATCTCAAGCTTTTTGACCCAAATTGCAGTGAACTAGCATGCTGGGGCAAAAACTGTCGCCACCACCTGACATTGCCAAGAATGCACATCACACACAAGCACGTCGGCATTGTCAGTCATTTGTGCAAGTTCTCAGTTGCGTGACTGTCTTTGGAATTTGCTTCGAAAAGCCAATCCGACACCATCTGGACCAACTCCATGAAGGTGACGTACCTAACAACTATTTGCTTTATCACGCTAGCCGAACTCGTTGCTCACGTGCTCATGATACATCAGTCCATTGCCTGAGGTCTGGGTTGATCTTCAACACGTTACGCAACAACAGAACCTCAGAGCTCAATCTCTTGCAGCAAGATGCGATTACTGTGAACAGGACTCAAGCAACAAAACCAAAGCTAGCGGCATTGCAAATAGCAAGGAGGGGACAAGGACCGTTCCTGCGACATGCTCTGCAGTTCATTGTGCCTCACAAAAGGCAACAAATCCGAGGCACAGGCTTGCTCTGCAAAAGAATTCGGCGCTCGGCTCCAAAGAAGATGATATCCTGCAGTGAAAACTCGTCACCACTTCATTGAAGTCCAAACTGAACACCTTCACCCGGTAGTTGTCTGTGCTGTCGTCTTCCATGTTAAAACAAACCTTTATACTCTGGAGGTGGCAATGCGATGAAGTTCTTCGCTGAATGTGTCAATTCGCAAATAAGCACTGTTGTATCCCTAGGATTCTGGTGAGTTTCCATACTGGGTGCTGTAGCAGTTCTGGCTCAGACTTTAATCATTCGTCTCAGTGCGAAGTCACGGCACCACATATTACAAACCTGTCCGATCCGAACCAAACAACGGCACAAGATGATGAGAAATGCGTTCCACGCCCAATGAACGTGCTCAGGCAATGCAGGACACTAAATTACCATCCATGGCACAAGGTATGCAAGCGTTCAATGCCAATCAAGCATAACAAAATGTTGCACTTGGTGAAATTTCCAAGGATGCTCGGATACGAGCTTTCAGTCACGTTAACGGAACAACTGTCCGTGTCCAAGAACAAAACCCAGAATGCACATTCATTTTTCGATTCAACCACATCGAAACAAAAAATGAGTCAGAGGTTGGTGCATCAAACCAGACTGCGGTGAGGCTGGTTCCCTCCCTGGAATCCAAGTTTAAAGCAGCTTCAACCCAGGTTAAACCCAGGCTTCAAGGCAGACCTAGAATTGGTTTGAAGAAAAGCTTAAAGGAGGTCTGAGAAAGAGACTTGAAGGAGGACCTTCTTCGACACGAAAGGAGACGCCCACACGAAATCCATAAGGGTGTTAAAAACGAATAAAAAAAATGCAGAAACATGAAAATTCACACCAAGGCCGCATAAAATCGTTCAGTGGGACCCGCTCTTAAAAGCTCAATGGGGGGGGCTGCGTCCCCTCCAACCCCTCCGCTTTTTGTAAATGCAACTCCCGCCTTTGAAGCCACCTAAACCGTAAAACCTTCAACTCCAAACCCATACAAAGCGAAAAATTGACAAAAAGAAGAGAGTTCAAAAAGCAAGGATGTAAATACCCACGAAATGGCTATGGGGGCTTAACCGCGAATAAACAGAATCGAAGACATGAAAATGGAAGACACACAAAGACTGTATGAAATCGTTCGGGACTGGCTCTTAAAAGCTCAAGAGGACATTCCACACGAAATCGCCTGAGAGGCTGAAAAACAAAGAAATACCTGTTCACAAAATCGCTTTGGGAAGCTTAAACGCAAGAATAACCTGCTTGTGTTTAAAAAATGCACTCTCTGCGCGATTTGAAAATCTGCCAACTCAGAGTTCAAACGCAGTTTAACTCAGGTTCAAAACCCAAGTTTCAACCCAGGTTCCAACCTAGGTCAGTTCCAACCCAGGTTCCAACCTTGGTTGTTTGAGTTTGTGGTTTCTGTCGTTGTAGTGTGCTCTCAGTTCATTTTCTTCGTAAAACCCCCCACAAAGCGATTCTGTGTGTTTCTTTCCTTTTGTTTGGTTGTTGGTGTTCGAACCCCGTTCGAACTGGAAGGGAGTCTAGAACGGGTTGGACGGTTCATTTGTTCGCAGCTTTAGCATTCTCGTAGGAGACTTCATGCCCCTTCTAAAGCCCCCTTGAGAAGAAAGACTCCTTCTCATTGACAATTTTTTTCTTTGTTTGGTTTTTATTTCGCAAAAACCTTCCATAAAGCGGTTTCCTGTGGCTTCTTCTTTTCTGGTAGGCTGGTCATTGGCAGTCTTTTTTCTTTGTTATCGGTAAGCTTCTAAAAACTGCGGGGACGCAGTCCCCAAACGTGGAGTTCCCGAACCCAGGTTATCAGTCAGGTTTGAACCCACGTTGGAACCCGGGTTTTAATGAACTCAGGTTCAACAGCTTGAATCCAGATTCCAAACCCAGGTTTGAAACCCAGATTCCAACCCAGATTTGGATTTTTTTTTTTTGGCTTGACTGGGCCTCGTCGACTACGGCTGTAGCACTCGGTCCCTACAAACAAGCAAAGCAACAAACTAACAAAACTACAACAAAGCGGTGAAACAGAAAGCGAAGCTCTACAAATGGGCTGCGGCGCACGGGCTTTACCTGTGTTGGCCGTTCAGCGCTAACTACGGAGCCTCAGCGACCGGTCCGGAGCAACAAAGAGCCGTCGCTCTGAGCTGCCCAAAACAACAGGTGGAGCCAAAACCAGGCTCCGGCAGCCGTTCTAGTCTCGCCAGACAACGGACAGCCCCTGTGTTTTGTTCCGTCGCGATCGTGCACACCAAAATCCAAAAGTCCAAAGCCCACTGCATGCGTGGGCGGCTTCCAGACAGGAGCGCGATGGCCAGAGTCGCAGAAGAGCAACTCATTGCCAGCCGGCGAATCTTCACACATCCAAGGACAGAACCAAACGTTCCTCGGCGTGCAAAGCGCAAGGGCGTCGCGGACGCCGGCGTCCAGCGACAACAAGTCGCCCGTCACAGCACGCAGGTGGCCGGGCGAGTGATGCAGGCCGTGGGGAGCAAAATGTTGTGCGTCGAACCCAGAGCAGCGCAAGCCAGGGCTAAGCCACGAGGCAAACAGAGACCAAGGTCACCCTTGTCGAGAGTGCACACCGGAGCTGGAGAGACTCAAGTGGTGGGTAATGCACAGAGTAGGAGTGGCGTGGAGGGTGATCCCAAGCGACGTATGTCGTCGGTTGCAGTGGCTTCCACGGGGAAAAGCGACTTCAGCCAGATATGAGCCGACTTGCCTCAAAAGGTCCGTTAAACCCGGCCACCCAATCCAATTGCAAAGTGCACAACCAAGCCTGTACTTGCGGTGTCGATGGAGCGAGTAATGGTGCGACGCAACCTCAGAGCAGCACAAGCCAGGGCCTCCTCCCTCCCCGGAGGCAAACCTGTGACCATGATCATCCATTTGGAGCGGGCACATCGGACCCAGACGAGACTCAAGTGGTGGTGAAAACCACCAGAGCAGGGGTGGCATGGAGGGTGGAAAGCACCTCAACGACGTATGTCGTCGGTTACAAGACTTCCATGAGGGAGTGACCCCAGCCAAGAAGAAGCGACTTGCCTCGAGAGGTCCGTCACAACCAGGCCACCCAAGTCCAATTGCCTGGTGCACAGGCAATCGAGCCTGCACTATCGGGGCCTGAATCGGCATGGCGGCAAGGACCCGCCCGCCCACTCAGTCGAGCCCGGCCTCACCGAAGGCCATGTGGCCCGTGCGGAGAGCTCAAGGGAAGTAACGACACAACGACGTATGTCGTCAGTCCCACGGTCGGCAAGTGAAAGTGGAGGTCACCGAGAGGAGCCAGCCGCCGCACCGCGCGGCCAGCTGTCGAGCAGGCGTTGCATGTCGCGCCCACTCGAAGGAAAGTGACTCTCCTTCAAGAGATAGAGCAACTGGTAGTTTTTCTCATTGTAGATTTCCTTCACCCTAGTATATGTATACTGATGATTGTCATGGTCGTCGCCATGAAGATGTGGCATCAAGTCGGTGGAGATACAAGGAAATTGGAGGCCAGGTCCGAGGCCCCCGTTCCGGAGGAACTCCTCCGCCGCAGCCTTCCAGCGTTCCTGCGCCCCGGGATGCCCCAGCCTGAACCAGGGGCGCTCACCACCCGGCAGCTCCTGCGCCTGGTTCTCCTCTCGGGCGACCAACCGATGAAGGAGGACCATCGCTTTGGCTTCAACTGCGTCGAAATGCGCAAAGCGCCACAAGCGGGTGGGAAAGTAAAACTGCTTCTTTTGCGGCCCGCGTATCCAATAGGCCACGACCGCTCGGAGATCCCAGCCCTCGGAAGTGGCCGCAGCTCGAAGACGCCACAGGGCGCTATTCAGCAGGCCCGCAGCCTGGATCGAGAGAGAGGGCTGTGCCTGTAAACCCAGTGAGATGTCCGCAAGCGGGAAGAGCAGGCGAAAAGTGCCCCTATATGTGCCCGGATACGTGAACATTCGCGGATCAAACTCACCGCGTCTGGCCGGAAGGATTCCACTCTCGAAGCCCGCCATCAGTCGGTCTGGTAATCTGAGGTCGGCCCACCAGGGCAGCCGGAACCTTGCACGTGACTCGCACCTCAATGTGCTGACCGTCACGAGTTGGAGTAACGTTGGTGAGCTGTAGAAGTGGAGCGGCCGTAGGGTCGTCAGCTAATGCCCGTGTAAGATAGAGCAGCAGCTGTACTGGCAGCAACACACCACAGTGCAGCAGTGGGGTTCCCTGTGTCGCGTCAACACTCGTGCCGCCTCCCCCAGTAGTGCGCCGCTGGCTGGAACCGGCGCCGCGTCGGCTGCCTGTTTGCACAGGGTCTCGCGTGGCGGTGGGGTCCCGCTTGGTGGCCAAGGACATTTGCACCAAGCTGCCGTCCCGGACTGGAGACTTCCGTCCTGCCAGGGCACGGGGGAGCGACCCCTTGATTCCTGCAAGCTCATCGAGAAGCAGCCACCACCAAATCTCGGGCCGAGCAAGCTCGTACCAGGAAAGGTCAAAAACCCGTCCTTCAGGCAGGCGCAGAACTGGGTCGCAAAACTGAGCCAATGCGACCGACACTGCCAGCATGGGTGTCAGGCAGACGCGGAATGCTTCATCATCCGTACAGCGCCGTAGCATGAGCGCCCGGTCAGCGAAGTCGACAACCTTCACCCCAAAATTCTGAGGGCTGAGTTTGACTTCACAGGCGGGCAGGGACAAGGGGAGGGAAAGCAAGGTCAGGCAGTCGGTGGGGTTGGGCAACAGTTGTTGTAGTGCACCCGCACAGTCCATTCCTTCGACAGGCCGCTGTTGCCGGCCCCGAGCTTGGTAGCGCCGAAGGGTATCATGCTGCTCTTCGAATTCGTCTTCGTCTTCTGCCGGTACACACCGGCTGGCAATGGATGTAACTCCCGGCACAAGGCGGCAAGGTGGAGTTTCCACTGCGTCCAACAGGGCCGCCACACGTTGGCTCCATGTAGAACTAGGAGCGGCGGGGAGGGAGGCAGCGCAACTTTGACTGCGCAGCTCCGCTGTCAGCGCGGGATCCTCTTTGGCAGGCACTCCTGTGTCCGGGTCCGGGCGAACCTTTCCCGTCGGATCATAGAGGGCGCGTGGCAGGCCTGTAGTAGCAATCGGCGGCAACATAACCGTTTCAGGGCTAGAG